TTCATTAAGTACATGCTATGCTCAGAATCAAATTGAAAAACTTTTATTTGTGACAAAAACTTTGAATTGTAAATTGCGTGCTGATCGGCACGCAATTTCGTTTAAGGGATAATATTAATATTGAATTACATTATTTATGATGATCGACATTAATTTTTTTTGAGCCATTGTTTATTATTAAATATACCACGTGATTCCCCCTACCCTTAATAACATCAATGCTGATTACGAAAAGCAAAACGATATCAATCATTTATCATAAAGAATCTCATAAGTACAAGTTCTGCTCCCACAGTTTGATTTCAATAATATACATTATATAAAATAAAAGACATATCAATGCAAATTAAAAAAAGTTACCTCTTGTTAGTTATAAATACATCTTCAGAACCATACCAAATAACAACACTTGTGTTTTATCATCTGTCTAAAAATAAATTGATTTTTGTTTTTCCAAGAAAAAAAATCAATTTGCGTCTCCAAAAAAAAAATCTTTGTACAACACCAAGCACCAATAATAATAATTGTTTTATGTGTTTTTTTTTTAATGCAATTCTTTTCAGATTTGATAATTATAATGACATTTACTATTATTATCTAATGAAAGTTATAAATCCTTTGATTGATAGAGACAATTTCAATTCAAATCTAATCAATATAACAAGCATTTTATTTTTACAATGCCAAAAAAAGACACTAAAAGAAGAAAGAGAGGAGATGAATGAGAAGAGATTCTCGAATAAGTGTTTATCATAAGAATGGTGGTGGTTATCACCACTAGTCATCACTCTAGTTATATACATAAAAATGGTTGCAATTATAGTTTTTTAAAAAACGTAAAGAAAACAATATTAATCAATCCAACTTTATATTATAGCTTGATTGGGGAAAATTTAAGATGCCTTGAAAAAGAACATTTAGAAGTGATTGAAAAAAATAAGGTATATATTTATTTCAGTAATGATTAATATTACAAATATTATTTATTGTTTAAAAAAATATTTTTCTATATATTTTCTCTAAAAAAAGGATCTTGAAAATAGTAATAAAGATTATAACAATGACAAGCAGTTAAGTAATGATAATAATAATAGTGGATGGTAATAACAAGTGGTTAAATAGTTCTAATAATAACAAAGCTGAAAACTTCAATTTTTCTTTTATTTAGAGAGGTTGACAATTTAACATTGTTATCACCATTGTTATCAAGTAATGTTTACAAAGAACTTATTCTGCCAACTGAACTTACCTTCCTCATCATAGGTTACTTGGACCTGCAAAGTGTTTGTAGATTCACCCAAGTGAATAAATTATGGAGGAATCTAATTGATAATGATAATTATGTTTGGAAAAATTTTTTAATAAATTATGGATATGTTGTTAATGAAGATGAAAGATTTTATAGTGAATATTTTATATCCATTAACTTTGATGGGTAGAAGATTATTGAAATTGAAAAATATGCTGATTTTATTACACTCCCTTCACACCCATACAAGGTAAAGACTAGTGCCATAAATTATGATGATGGTAGTAATTGTATTTAAGGCATATAAAAGGTGGTTGCAATTACCTTTGCAACCACTTTTGCAACCATACTCTTTCCTTTTTTGGATTACGGCACTAGTCTTTAATACAAGGAGATTTGTCGATTAAGTAATATCATTCAAAACAATGAAAGTAAAATTGAAGATCAAAAAAATATATGTTGGAAAAAATTACCAAATATACATAATCACATTATTAGTAACAATGATAAAAATAATGGTGTTAATATAGAAGAAATAATTAATATAAATTATAACTATAACCAAATAGAGTAAGCTTTTTTTACTAATACAAGTGGAGTCTGTGGTATCAATCAGTTAATTATCTTCTCTGACTATTATTCATTATTTATTAATATATATTAATGTTAATATTTTTATATTCAGGGATTGTATATATCAATTAATTTATGATGGATATATTTATTGAACTGTTGATAAACATTTCAAGTTAGCTTAACAAAAAAATTATTTTACGAAATATTTAAATGAAAATTGTTGATTTATTATTATTATTACTGTTAATTATTATTAATTATTTTATTATTATAATATATATATAAATACAAAATCAAATATAATAAACTAAAATTAAATTGAAACAATTTCTGCTTCAATCCAGTTCTTTAAGCATAGACTTGCTTGTGCTTTTTCTATTTTGAATTGGATTTAATGTATGTTTAGCAATGCTAAACATTTGCTCACTTGATACACTTGTGGCTTGTATTGAAAATAATCCTATGCCATATGTGACAGAGTTATATAATTATATAATTAGGATCTTTTATTCTTGATGCATACCAATCTAAACATTCAATTTCTTCTGATAGTACCTTCTGATAAATGTAAATTCATTGTTTGTAGTAGTTGATTGATTATTGTTTTGGTTTTGATTGAGTAGTTTTTTGAAATCACTACATTTTGAAGTTTGATTCATTGCGATGGTCTCAGAAGAAGAGTCATATTTTTCTGAATATGATTTATATTTTTTTAAAAATTCAGTTTTGACCTCTTTTACTTCAGACTCAGGAAAAGTCAATAGCTTGTATGTAATATTGAACTGATTTTAGAATTTTGATCAAGTAGTTTCCAATAATTATCAAGTTTAATAACAATAGCTGTTGCTATTAATGATTGTGTAGTTGGTGGATCAATGCCAATTTTCTTATTCAATCCTTTAATAATTGTTGAAAATGTTAGTCATAAGTCACCAAGGGTGGGATAACTAGATCCTGATAAAAGTTCAGTTGTAAAAAAAAATAGGTTCCAATAAATTATATGTATTCTATATTGTGAACAAACAATCACAAATTTACCAGAATAAGTATCTAATTGAAATATAAAACAATGTGTATAAAAATTGCAAAAAAATTCTAATACAAAAAATCTTTTTACATACTTTAATGTCATCCCATTCTTCTTTACTTGGATAAATTTGTAGAAGCATTCTATTCTATAGATGCTGGTCGCAATTCTTGGTGATGGTTGCAACCATATTTGCGACCACTTTGGTTTCCTTTTTTGGATTGCAACATGGAACACTATTCTATTCCCAGCTATTAAAATATCAACCATATCTTTTATCCTCAACATCTTTTTTATCATGTTATATAATGAATTCCATTTGGTTGTTATGTCCAAATCAGGAATTAAAAATTTTTGGTTTTTCATTTCAAATATAGTTTTAAGTTCTTCTAAAATAGGCTGTGAATTTCAAATACTGCCAGCAGTTTTACGTAATTTTTCAATTGGTTGATCAATTAATTTTATTCCCTCTTTAACTGCAAGGTTCAACACATAAGCACCACATCTGAGATGCATAAAATCCTTATTGTCATATTTTTGAATTAAATAATTATTTAACTAAACTAACCATGTTTGACCCATTATCAGTAGTCATTGCCAAAACTTTCTTGCCAAGTGAAAACTCTTCTAAATTTTATTTGCTAAATAGATCCCA